CGACCCATCATACCCGCCTAGGACATTACTACTATTACTGTATACCAGTTGGTTCGATGCGCACTGTTACTGTTACACTATAACATTGCAAATTAGTCTCAGAAAAAACATAGAGGTGGGATCAGGTTCAATGAATGAATGAAATATGAAATAATCCGAAAAAATAATGTTAAATACACTAGGTCTTTAAAAAATCTAGTAAATAAAAAAAAATACCTACTAGGGACAAAAAAAAATCAATAGAGGGAAGTACTCGCTAGTATTTCAAAATTCAATAGTACCAACCAATCTTAAGTTTTACAGAAGCAACTTACGTTATTTGTGCTACAAAAAATACAACAAGTGCCAAACCATGAAGTAAGAATTAGAAAAAAACATTAGAGTCTGTCAATCTTCTAATTCTTTATTCTAAAAAGAAAAAAAGACAACATCAACGAACTTAAATTTGACAAAATTCAGAACGAACACAATGCAAAATTAAAATCAACAAACACTGACACATTTAGAAAGAAATGACTTTTACCTCTTATTTGGAAAGACATTGAATAGTCGAGTGGCAAAAGATTTTTGTAACTTTCCACGTAGCTTTCCACAAAAAACTTGATGAAAGCATTTTATTCAGTTATCGTTGGATCATTTCGTCCATGAATAGGAGATTCCATTTTTCCTCAAAGCGTCAAAATTCCGAAATGCAAGTTTATTTTTTAATCATTGTATTGTAAATAACCGAATTGTCACTTGTAGGACTTGCTGATTTATATCGTTACATGTTTTTCCACAGTTCAATAGTGTTATGTTTTATATTCTTAAAATTGCTAGTCTTTTTCTTTTAATCATGAATAAATATTAATGACATGCCATTAAGAGTGCTGTTTGAATCTTGAAATATGACAAAAACTCATTATTTAAACATTATATTAGCAGAATTTGCATAAAAATTACATATACTTACATTTAACTATAAGTTGAACATGTGCCGACATATCTCCGAATTCTTCATTACTTACATTGCAAATATAGGTATCGGAGTCGTTGTAACGTATCCCATGTGTGAATTTGTAGTGATATAAGTTCACCAATAAATAACCTGGCAACTTAACACCAGCCTTTGATTCTTTTGTTATGAAAACATCGGCAATAGGATAACCTTCTATCTTACACACTATTGTTACGTCATCGCCATCTTTTGCAATAATTTTAGAATCATTTATTACGTCTCCATTCAGTACTGTATAGATAACGGGCCAAGAAATATCTGAAAGAAAATTATTGATAAAAACGGCTTGTATTGAAAAACAATAACATTGGTTTTAACCTTAGTCCTATCTTTGGCAATATGAGGAAATGGACAAAGAACACACTCACATAAAGGCTTTAGTTGTGTTACATCGCTTTTGGACATTAAGTATTCCTGTGCGCTACATGACACATTTTCCTGTAGGTGCTTCTTTATAAAACGTATATCTAGTTCTTGGTTTCGAATCCCTTTATAGCTTGTGTTGTTAACATACCAAAAATATTTCATCAGTGGAAATTTCTTGTAGAACAATGGGGCGGATGTTGAGTCGCCACTGCAAACTATCACTGTCTTTTCACAAGTTGGCGTACTAATTGTGCCTTTAGAAATCGGTTTTAAAGGCCAATCTTCAGGAAAGATGAAAGAACTAAACTTTATTTTTGCCATGACAATCGGTTTTGTAGGCCGTCCTTTAGGAAAAAATAAAGCATTATTCTCGAAAGCCTCCCACCAAATTGCTTATTATGAGCTCAGAGGTTAATAAAAGTTTAATCCTATGATCTTTATTCAATATTTCCCCCGAAGATATAATGACTTTACACTTGTGAAATAATGTTATTATTGGTCCTTTAACTCACTATTTTGTAAAATATCATTATTTATACCGTCATATTAATACATGGTAGTCCACTTTTATTATTTTTGACGTTATTTAATAAATATATTTGTACATACCAAAAACAACAAGAATGACCCAATGCCTCGTTTTGGAATCTGAAGCATTATATCCAACGCTGTAATATCCTGCATCACTTGTGGTCACATTTAAAACTTCTAGATATAGATTGCCATGTGTCCGGCGTAATGTATAACGTTTGAAATCTACAGATGTGTAGTCAATCTTCATCGACGATTTTGATGTTAATTTGTAGACGTTATTAAAAATCCCATGCGGACCGGGCAAAATTATTTTAAATCGATCTCCCTCGGAGACAAAGGTAATTTTAGCTGTAATAAAAAAATAGAATGATACAATTACAATAATAACCTGACTTAAACTCTCTTGTTATAAAAATAGAATAAAAGAAGATTTTCGTTTGGTACCATTTTTAAAACATTTGCATGCATTAACAAATTTATTTCTTTCCTACATTTCAGAACTCTACTCAGGCACACAATTTTCAAACAATAATATACATGTATCTTTACTTTAAAAAAAAAACTTTAATAAAAAAAAATCATTCAAAATATAAGTATTATATTAAGGAAACGCATATAGCTAATACGATATTAATTTAGTAAAAAAAAAGGGTGTGATAACAATCTTACTTACGTTTGTATGATGTCGACATTTCCTCGTATCCGTAGTCTGAGAAAGTATGTACAGATATGTTAACTTCTGTGCAATTAAGCACATCATACGCAATGTATTCATCCCTGGTGTAGTTAGCCATTGTCTGTATATTGTTGTCACAAGCAACACTGACATTCTGATAGGAAGATTTAGGAGTCCAAAGAAATGTCAAATCTCCATCAATGAATAAAGATTTAATCGCCCCAGATTCTAAAAAAAAAAAAACAACAGATGTAGTGAAACCTAGGAACATAACAAACAGTGTATTCAAGCTCAAAAGTCTATAAAACAAAACAAAACAGAAGCAGAAAACTCTTTTTAAAATTTTTTTATCGTAAATGAATTTTAACTAGTTATAATCAAAGAAGTGTTTTAATAAAAGTATACATAAAGTAAACAGAGCTGCATTGTTTATTCAAATGTACTGACATGTATAAATAAGCAATCATTCAATATTCTGATTGCCTATTCATTCTCATTATGATCACCAAGAAAGTAAAGTATACGAGGGTTGCCCCTTAAAATCGTGGACAAAGCGTTTTTCTCGAAAAGTAATTGGAGCACTGAGCTGAAAATTTCAGTAAATGTCCATTTATCATATTTTAGTGCCTGATGATTTTTTTGATAAAATATAGGCAAAAATAAAGATTTTATTATGCTTGAATGTGCACGAGGTATTTTCCTACGGCGCACGGTCAAAAAACCGAGGTTTTGAATTCAAAATTAAAGTTTTAAATATATAAGATTTGGATTAAAAATATCCTTATTTGATTCCACAATCAATTTTGTAGTCTTTGTAAAAAAAAATTAAGGCATTTGATAAATCTTTGGCAGTTTTTCGGGTATTCGAAATGGGAAAGTGGTAACACAACACACAAAAAATGGCGATGTTTTATGACGTTACGGCGCACCGGAGAACAGCTCAGTTTTATTTCGATGTTGTAATGATACCTTTAGAGACTTGAAATGACCATAGAAGAAAAAAGATTATATAAATATCACTATATCTTAAGTATACAAATGAAATAGTTTTCTTAGCGAATTTTTTTTGAACGAGTCCCTGGGGAGTACAAAACATATAGACAAACTCCTTAATATGTAATAGCAAAAGACGCTGTCACAGTAGACCGCCGATATGAGATTTTCTATTAGTTGAATGATGGTGAGAATATTGTCCATAACTTACTAATAAATCTTCAGAAGATCGCATGAGGGTGCCAATTGGTTCTTCGGCTATTTATGGAGGTGTATCAATGAAATTTCTAAATTTAAGTCGGACTCAGACAACTTCAATTTCAGCAAAGATAAAACGTGACGCTGTTTTAGACACAATGCGTTATAATCCATGCGCCGTAAGTTGATGCAATACATGGCATAAAATCTCATCGTTTCTTTATTTATGAATACATTTATCTGAAATTTGCTATGTATATTACTAAAATATGTAATAAATAATAGTGAAATTTTCAGAACGTAGTGATATTTATTTTTCACACTAGACAACTTGTCCACGATTTTACGGGACAACCCTCCTACTTTCAAATTCAAATAAAATCAATAAATTAAGTTAGTATACTTGTATTCAAGATTGATTACTACCTGCTGATATGATGTATGACAATTGCATAATTAAAAGAATTATTCCAATATTCTCCGATGAGAGCAAATCCATGGTTGTTTATCTAAAATGTAATTGGATGAGAATAATTTTGTATTTATAATCAATAGACAGGAAGAAAATTCATAACTCCTTATTCTATTTTTGTTTACCTTGTACATAACTTAGAGATATCTCTTTATTGAAAGTCACCTCCTCGTATTGGAATATGTATGCAAATCAATAAACACAAACTGTCAACAATCCCGGAAAAAATAGTGTTTTGATTTATTTTAAACTTTATATGTATCTTCAAAGAGGTTTGGAATGAGTTGTATATTTGAAAACATGGAATTCTTTTTATATTTCAAAGATTACCATTATATAAACTTTTATGTAAAGCTTTTTGAAAATGAATGGTAGTAAATTTAAAGCGCTTATATTTCAAAGATGCCAAAGTCTTGTATTTTTAAGATGTTTTATTGTCTCTCGCTAAAGGTTGGGGGTATTAATTTTGGTCTCTCTCTCTCTCGTCTGTCCTTCAAACTCTGTAGTATATGTCTTTTTAAGTTCTCTAAGATATCTTGGGTCAACAAAAATTGAGTTAACTATTATTAATTGAAAATACGTCGTCGATAAAAATTAAATCAACATGTTTTCACGCGTCAAAAAAAATTCCAGAGATTTTCGAGAGCCTCGTCATAGCAAGTATTCTCGCTGTGAACAGGTCCTTAATCTCGGTTCTAATTTGCTTTAGAAACATTTTAATCAGCACACTCAGTGGTTCGAATTGGTGCTCATAGCAGCCCTCTAGTATCATATCAAACAGTCTGAATCAAGTATTTTTTGGGGTGAGAGGCCTAAGGGGTGTCTAAATATTCACCAAACATTTTTAAACTATACAGAACAAATGCATGCAATTAATATTTTCTATAAATTATGATTAATATTGCATATTTCACTTTAATGTTGCAAAATTCTTATGTAATTATCTTGACAGACTTTAAAGCGAAGTGTCAAGGACATTATATACCCTCAAAATGAAAATTCACATGAAATAATCTCCTTAATGTAAGACAGCCACTCATCATAATCATAGCAAGACATTCCCCCTCATGAATACCATGTACCCTTAGAAAAGGAGGTCAACCTATCTGCTGCGTTACCTAAAGCATGAATCTTTCTAAACCGTTGAAATTACTTACAGGTTATTTTTTTAAAAGATCAATATGTTCAACTGTATCAAGGTTCTGGTATTTGAAAGCCAAGTGCATCAAACAGATCAATATTTAGACCCGCCTTAGGTCACTGACACGTAAAATACTGTGTTCAAGCTGCAGGGTTTTTTTTTTTTTTTTTTATACTTTTCTCTTTATTCAAAAGAGTAATATCAAGGAGAAATACACACTTAAATAAAAGTGAATCAAATGTGTCGAATGGATGATTGAGATATCAACGTTCCAACGGCTCTTCAGCCTGGCTTAATGGTCATCAAGCCAATGTTGAGTGTTTTTATTTATACTAAATGTTAACAAGAGGTCCATGGGATACATCGCTCACCTGAAAAGCTTTGAACATTCTGTTCTTTTCCAGATCCCCCTTTGTAATACCTATTGTGACCCCACCCTACCCCACTGATAATATTTTAGACAATTTGAAATCTACAGTACCCCATGATGCTTCCACATGAATTTAAGCTTTTCTGGCCCAGTGGTTCTTGAGAAGATATTCAAATATTTTCCCTATGTATTTCTATGTAAAACTTTGATTCCCCATTGTGGAACCGCCTACCCCTGGGGTCATGATTTGAACAATTTAGAATCTACACTTCCCAAGGATGATTCCACATAATTTTCAGTTTTTCTTGCCCAGTGGTTCTTGAGAAAAAGATTTCTTAATAACCCATCCCTTTTTTGTCTTTTCTTGATTATCTCAACTTGTGAGGGGACTTGTCCCTTTATTTTTACAATTAAACTTGTCCTTCAGCCAAGAATGCTTTGTACCAAATTTGGTAAAAATTGGCTCAGTGGTTCATGAAAAGAAGTCAAAAATGTGAAAAGTTTACAGACGGACAAAAAAACGGACGGACAGACAACTAGGCGGACGAACGGACGACGGTCAAAATGTAATCAGAAAAGCTCACTTGAAACTCCGGCTCAGATGAGCTAAAATGGATAATGGTCACAGAAAAGAGGCTGATTACATAAAACACGAGCTGCCAAGTACAGATTTATTGTTTTTAAATTACTTCACGAAACTTTGGTTTTCATCAGGAATAACTGGTTTTCTGGTCAAAACTGTTGAGAAGTCCCATTGGTTAAAATTATTTGAAAATATCAAACAATTCTATCGTGTAGTTTTTAAATAAAAATATTTGTTAAAGTAAACCCTTAGAAACTTCGTTAAGTGTGTATCAACACAATCAACAATCCACAAAATAAAACTTGTTTTTGATCTCCAGAAACATATATTTCATTATGTAATTGTATATATTGGATGAGGGGTTTTACTCGGTATAATATATTGAAAAAAATACTTCTTCCGTAGGCTATTTTCAGAGGAATGTAGAGGAACTTAGAAAAATGACGCATTTCAAGACGTCATAATGCACAAAAAGAATATTACGCCATGTTTAATGGATCCATAGTCATTAACACTCCAGGTGATAAATAAAACCTAAGCTGAGTACATAGTTCTGATTTTTCAGAATTTTTCAGGCCAATAAAGACCAAAAATGGCTCTTGCTATTTCTTTAAAAATGACCAAGGTATTTTTAGCTTCTTAGAGTATGAACGATATTTTCTGCACATTTTCCGTTAAAATGGTAATTTAAATGTAAACCATCTTCCTTATTTAAGGGACGTATTTAAAGGGGATAAAATTATTTTAACTTCATATGTAACTTATGATATATAGACAAAAGATAGATAAACTTTAACGGCTATTTACATGTACATCTGTTTGATACAGTTTGCTAAATAATAATGTATGAAAAATATACTGTTATAGTTTTTAATTGAATTTAAAATACTATTAAGGATAGGCGAAAGTAAGAAACTATCTTGCTAGAGATGTGAAGGTTGAATTTATCAAAATTTGAACAACGTGTTAAATAATAACAGACATACTATTCTTAATAATTATTGATTTTATGACTTCATTATTCTTTAAAGTGTGATTTGGTAGACAAGAAACATACATAAAATTTGTTTTTTGTTTGTCACTGTAAAAGTTTTTTATCACCTCGAGTTTGCACTTGCTTTACTTTACTTATTCTGTACTTTATTACCAGGATACACACGTGTTGATCTCTGACATGACTTTGTATTTCTTCTATTCTTAAATTTTCTCAAAATAGCTCGTCGAAGCCCAGTACTTTACCCTATAGGAATAATCAGTTATAAGATCATCCTTTTCTTTACAACATCCCAACAATATTTATCAGCAATATGAACAATTTTGTTCCTTATATTCAAATGATGAATAATAAAATTCAAATTTTATTTATTCGCTTCTATTCTGTTACAGTACTTTTAAACATGTTTACAGCTTTTTTCTCTACATGCATTTTATTGCTTGGATGAAACATTGGAGATAACGAACAGTTATAAATATCAAAAGTCCATAGAACAATACGAAATAGGAGTTGAGTAAACACGGACCTCCAATATATCAGAGATGGGATCAGGTGCTATAAAGGCCTGAGCATCTTCTGCCGACCGTTCACACCCGCTGTGTGCTCCTCGTCATTATTGGAAAATAACGGAAAATTCCGTCGTCAATTCAATGTATGAATAATAGACTAACAATGTGTATGAAAAATGTCAGTTATTGTTTGACTCAATGATAAATAATTGTATTTGCTGACAATGTCATATCTTCCATAAACGAAATTGTGTCTTTAACGAGACTGCTGAAATTCATTGTCCATCAACTTATGTGTCAAAAATTTACCTCGTTTCAGAAATCGTGCTTTGTGAATCATGAACATGCTTTTGCGTATAAAATCAAAGGAGATACATGTACCTAAACTTTGTTTGCAAGTGATAAAAGTACATTGTAAAAGTAAGGAAAGATGACGGTAGAAAAGTTATAAAGCTTGGTTGTTAGAATTCTGTTAGCGTCTTTTTTCAAGTAAATATGACACAGATGTGTCAGACTCTGTGGTATTTTTTTTTCCTTAAACTCACGTAGTATATTGTATAGACATAAGAATTAAAATAACGAATTGACAATACGTCGTTGATATATCTAAATGTAGAAATCAAGGCCACAGCAAGTGGAAACTTTTCATGCATAGGATTATGCTTCATATAAATACAAAAAATAGGTCTACTAATAACGGAACGCATTTGGTATCCATGAGAATTCCAATATTTTGTTGCAGAACTGACGTTCGCGAGCGCTCACCAAAATTACCATTGGATGTATAAAGAATTGTGGACAGCGCTCGCGAATGTTTTTGGGCTGTTGAACAGTTCTTCACAAGAATTAGCTTTCCTAAAAAGCTTGTATGATGTGGTTTGCTGAAATTCATAAAGCGGAAAGAAATAATATATTATGTTATATAATTTCTTTTGTTCGATAATATATCTTCAAAAGACCATGCGTTATCAAAATGGTGTACAATAATGTACAAAGAACTTAAATTGACGCTCCTGGTCCAAGGATCATGTAACAAACGAAGACTAAAGTGAAATTTTTAATCGCCGATGAAATATTTATTAATTATGGAATTTATTTCTAAATTTGCTCATAAAAACATCCCTTTGAAACAATATTAAAAAAATATCCCTAACCCTAACCCTTCTGGTCTGCTTGACTTTTAAAACATTTTATTTTAGAATAAAGATATAGATCGACTTAGGCTTAATATGTTTTAAGATCCCGGATCAGCATTTTTCAAGTAATGTTTTAAATGTTAAATGACCTAACTGATTTTTTATTCAGCAAACAGAATAAAATGAAGGTTGTAAATGATGAAATCAATGGGAAGATCTTTTATCACCTAATGGGCGCGTATAATCCTAACCCTAGCGATAACAATCTGGACAAAGTGTTACACGCATTGATCATTCCTCCTCTGTTCTTGTAAGCTTTCTTTGCTTCTCAAACCTTTTGATTCTTTACTTTACGCTGTAACTTAATTGATTGATAAAATTCTACATTGAAGCATCTGGGAAAAGAAACAAGAAGATGTAAACTAATTTACAATTTAATATCGTCCAAAACATAATCGTTGGATGGGAGTGAAGTACAAATATATACCACTTCAGCAACATACAAATCTATTTACACAATAAAGAATTAGAAGCCAACTTGAATAAGACATATTTATGTTTTCACTGCATTTTTCCAAGGCACTACATGTGTTATTAGTTTTACAATACTTGGAGCAATGCAACTAAGAGAATATATTTGACTATATGCCTGATGTTTAAATTATGTACAAGTAATTCAATGTCAACGTATAATTTTACTGAAAATATTCAATTAATTATTCAACTATAACATATAAAATGCCTCAATCTTTGATACACAAGTGAGATTAATATAATAAGGCATTTTTTTAGAGAACCGAAGCGGACATGTTCAAAGATGAAAGCACGGATTAAACTAAAGACAAGATCATTCAGTAATGTAAATAAAAGCTCATTTCCTCCTGGGACGAACTGTGCGCATCTTTGGAGATTATGCATGTACCGAGATTTCCACCATCGAACTATCTTAACAATTTCATTGAGGTGGCAGAGGATAGTTTCGGATTAAGTACCGGTCAAAAAATAGAGAAAATAGAGAAACCTGAGGTTTGAATACATATTATTTGTAATTTTATGGCTAGAATATTTCATGGGTGCATTTGGAGGGAATTGGTGGCCTTGTATATTTTACTGAAATATGACACTTTAGCGTCACTACTACTGTATATGGGATATGGACTAGAAATACGAAACTAAACTCAAAACTCGCTCTACCGGTATTTCACCAGAAAAGCGGGGTGGGTTCACAGGATGAATTGTAGTTTGAAAACGAGGTGGTTGAGCCATTATCTCTTGCTGTTCATTGGTATGTACAAATGTTATTCTGCAATTTATGCTTCCCATGAGTGCTATACTGAACAGTTATACATTGATGTTTTACTGAACATCACTTATAAAAACAAATCATGATAAGCAATGCTATACTCTGCATTTATGATTTAAAAGATGATGTTATACTGAAAATCATTCCAGCTGCCCGAACTGCTATACTGAACAGTTATACATTGATGTTTTTACTGAACATCACTTAAAGACATGCAGCTTAACCATAATGACGTATGAATAAAATAATGATTAAAACTGTTAAAAGCTGCTCCAAATATGTAAACGTTAAACATTATTTGTTTTGTTATAATGACCAAAACAATACTGCCCTTAATTTACGGGAATGCACAAACACTGCATTCCTAGAACTTCTCCAGTGCATGGGCGAAAGCGGTCCCCGTCAGGCGTGTTTCAAATTCTTCATAGGGGGTCGTCGAAGTGAACAGCAACTGCCAAAACACTATCTGTGCCTCCAACGAAATAGGTTTCCCGATACGAGGATGGTTTCCACGGCATAAAATTGATACATTACAGGCACCGATGATTCTCCCCTAAGAAGTTGACCAATAATTGATCTTAGACCACATGTACACAGGTCCCTGTTTGCATAAACATTTTTTTTTCTTCAATGCACTGCCAGGCTAACAAAAATGGCGCAACAAAATCAAGGACTTTGATTGGATAACTCTGTCAAGCAAAATAAGGTGCGATTTCGCAATGAAAGGTTCTATGATAATTGCGCTGCGATAAGAGCGCATATCCTGCAGACTGCGCAGGGATATGCAGAATTATCCTTAGGTGTAAAATATAATATATTTCTCATAGAGGCATAAATTGAATTATCTGCGATAATATTGTTTTGTGTGGTAGCTTAGGTCAGGCGCACGGGCCAGGAAGCAGATGCGGCTGCGGCGAAATAGTGAAAATAGGCTTGATTCACATGAAATTATGAGATTGTCCCTGCACCGTCTTTAGGGCTCATTATGTAAGTTGTACATGTTTTATTCCTAAAAGCTTCAAATTTCTCAAGGGATTACATCATACTATTACTACATGTAGAGGGAATTAAAAATTTTTCAATGCACATTTTTAAAGCAGCTCAATATTAAGTAAACCGTCAGTCAAACGTTTTGATTGCAAAAAAACTATCCTCTGCCACCTGAGGCCCGTGCTGATGACCTAAGCTACCACACAAATTGCAGAATAACATTTGTACATACCAATGAACAGCAAGAGATATGGGCTCAACCACCTCGTTTTCAAGCTACAATCCATCCTTTGAACCCACCCCGCTTTTCTGGTGAAATACCGATAGAGCGAGTTTTAAGCTTAGTTTCGTATTTCTAGTCCATATCCCCTATACAGTAGTAGTGACACTAAAGTGTCATATATCAATAAAATATACAAGGCCATCAATTCCCTCCAAATGCACCCATGAAATATTCTAGCTATAAAATTACCTATAATATGCATTCAAACCTCAGGTTTCTCTATTTTTTCTATTTTTTGACCGGTACTTTATTCGAAACATTCCTCTGCCACCTGAACGACTGCATAAAAAAGTCCCGGTTAAATCTAGTACTGTCTGACGTCAAGACATCAGACAAAAAATAACCAAAGATAAGGTAAATAAATTTCTGAGTTTTTTTTTTTAATTTTCCACATCTAGTTTATACCACTTCTTGAATTTATTATGGCACAGTACTCTTGAAGTTTCTCCATCACTAATTTTGATATCTTAGATAGGAGTAACGAAAGGGGTTTGGCTAAAAATTTAAGGGAACCTGCTATTTATCTTTGTTTGTAAAGATTCTTAAATCAAAATAAACATGGTTTATGAAAGGTTTATTATAAGATCAATTCCGATGCCTAAGCGTGCGTCTCTGTGTATGGTTAATAAGCCTCTTCACAATTACATTGTTACACTGCGGACTGGAAAGATTTCCAACACTATCGACATTATCATTACGTCCATAGGGAAGGATTGCACTTTGATTAGAAGCACTGTCCAGTATATGCATGATTACAATTGAAAGACGTTTTTGTTATCAAATTCTGACACGTCAAGTATTAAAGCTTATCATGGAATATTTTAAAATTGAAAACGTTGGATCGGACAAAAGGAATCTTCAAGAGTAATTTTCGGGCAAGTTATTGACCATGGTTCCATTTTAAGATAAATGGTGCAATCTAAGGGTGAAAAAGTATCATATTGGAATTTGAAAAGGTTTTTTTTTCAACAGATAACAAAGATTTTACCTATGATGTATCTTTATTATCCAATTATACCAGAGATGCTTATAGGAGAAGAATTATGATTCGCACGGTCGTAGTAACAGTAATGAATTTTCATATCGCCAGTCCTACAACCACCCTCAACGAATGGATGAGCTCCTGTGCAATTATTTGCATTCCTGTTATCTTCATTGTCATAGTAGATAAACTCATCAGACACAGTCATACCTAGGACTTCTTGACAAAGTCCAGTATACCGCATAAGATAAAAAGGTTTATCTATCGGCAGAAGTATGGGTATGTTAGCTAAGCTATCTTGTCTGAAAACAGATGTTTTATAGTTTACCAGCAGTAAAAGAAATGAAAATAAGTCCCAATAAAACCTTATATAAAATCTTCATAAAATAGACTTTGTAATTTACCTGCAACAAAAGGAAATTTCATTTCCATTCACAAAATGTCCGTCGGGTAATGCCCCAACATGAGCATTAGCATTATTGTCATCTTCATCATCCATATGCAAAACGCCAGGCAAAAAACCTAGTAAATACGTAATGACAATTTTCTAATTTGAACAGAAAAATAAATTTATTAATTATTTTCAAACAATATAATATTTGAAATACATTGAACACCGGCACATCGGAAATCCGAAAAATCTGACATTTGTGAAATAACGTTTTCAAATTTTTCTGTTGCAATAAAGGCTGAACTTATCATTAAACAAATGAGAGAAAAAAAAAATAAATCAAAGAGACAAGTGCACTCAAGCAATACTTAATGGGCCCCTTTTCTGTGTCTCTATACTTTTGAAAACATGTATTACCGAATCCTTCTCTTGAAGTAATCGTTAAACACACTAGTGGATATTTCAAATTATAAAGCGCATTAAGGTCAAGATCTAGTAAGTGAAAGAAGCTTACAGATTTATCAAATTTGAGAAATAAATTCCTTTATCTTCAGCTTGTCAAATAAGGTGTTTCAGGGCATAATTTGAAGATAAACAACATGAAAAATTGTATTTCATTTTCAATGCAAAATTAATAAAAACATGCAGTCAGAAATATGGGATTTTTTTTTCATATTCGACAAAGGAAATGAATCCAGATACATGTAGCCTACAGTCTCTCAGAAAACAGTAATTTATGTGTTCATGGCCTCTCAATATAAAATTTTATATGTATTCGGTATACTTTTCATATGATTTCAAATTGAATGTCATGAAAATATACTATTTTCTACATAATTCTGATAAAGCCATAAAGTACGGGAAAAGAAAGTTGAAATTGATTATGACGTCATAATGGATCCAGCACCAAAAAAATAGCTAAAGTCATTTACTAGATCTTGACGTTAAGCATCCCCTAATCTGCATGAATTTGTAGCAAAAAATGGTTTTAAATGCCAATAGATACCCAAATCTGGAAAAGTCGTACTGAACCTACTTTGAGTTTCGTTTATTTTATGAAGGGTGGAAACATTTTAATCGACACATGAACAATCTCATGGAGGATCATTTACTTACGGGTGCGTTCCCCGAATGATACTTTTTTCGCTGTTTCATCGATTGAACTTGTTTAGAAGTTGACTGAAGCCATAGTAATCAAACTTAGAAAATTGCACGCTTGTACTTAAAAAAAATACAGTAAGCATCGATATTAGTTTCTTGAATTTTGAACAAAAAAGTACAGTAAAACACGTTGAGTACGAACACGGATATAGCGAATTCACGGATATAACGAAGTTTTTCTGGGTCCCCGGAAAAATTCTTAACAAATCTTTGTAAAATTTTACGGTTATAACGAACTCTGATATAACGAATTTACGGATATAGCGAACTGATTTTGAGTACCGTTGAGGTTAAATATAATGAATTTTACATCTTTTATAACGAACTTTCAAAGATTTCAAAATTTGAATAATTGAACTGACTTTATTTTCTCTCAGCATTTGTATATAAAATTCAATTCATAATAAAACCTTATGAATTTTACATCTTTTATAACGAACTTTCAAAGATTTCAAAATTTGAATAATTGAACTGACTTTATTTTCTCTCAGCATTTGTATATAAAATTCAATTCATAATAAAACCTTATGAATTTTACATCTTTTATAACGAAGTTTCAAAGATTTCAAAATTTGAATAATTGAACTGACTTTATTTTCTCTCAGCATTTGTATATAAAATTCATTTCATAAAAAAAACCTTAGTTATCGAAGGTATGTTTTGTAATATTTGCTTCCCTAACATATTTGATAGTTGACACTTGATGGACAACATGCATATTGCGAATTCGCTGTATATGGTTATACGAATTCGTTAAACGTATATAACGAATTACGGATATAGTGAATTAAATTCACAGGTCCCCAGGACTTCGCTATAACCGTGCTTTAACACTCTCTTCACCCTTTAGTATTCCTAGAACCAAATACAGTGGACCTTCAGATATCCGGACGCTTCACCTTCCGGACGATTTTTCTCGGCAACGGATTTTTTCAACGTAATTTTGACTCATTTATCCGGAATTCCGCGTTCCGTATCCGAACGGCTCTTTGGTCGGGTAGAGTCTTAGCCTTAGTACATAAGTCCTCGAACCGCTTCATGCTTCACCGGATATCGAGGCCTTAGAGCTGCTGACGCCATACTTGTTTTGGAAGTCACGTGACAGGGGTAAAAAATGGAGGAGCAGACGGCAGAATAAGTACGACTGGTGGATTTTAATTTCAGTCCGAAGGTCAGGAACATTGTTCCTAGGGAAATTTCTATATTTATTCATTACAGTTAAGTTTATACATTATATTCAGCACAACTTGTCGTTTGTAACGGACTTGTATGAAGAGAGAGCCCTCTCGTTTGTAGCAAAATACCTTCTATAGAGGGGGTCTGGTATGTTTTCGTCCACTTTTCAAAGTATTGTAGCTAAACGAGAAAGTAAAATTTGTTGTAGATTGGTATATAATCAGTGAATTTCTTATAAGACAGCCTGGCTAATCATTGATTTGCATTTCACAATGAAATACTACCGTTTTTAATCCATCTTACGAGAAAATAGAGGAGGATCGATAGCATTTCATTGAAATTAAAAGTCTAACTGAATTGCTCTTAGATGTGTCATTAGAGTTTTTGAACTCTAGAGGCCACAAGCTTTCAAGGTATAAGAGCATAAAGGTTTTCTTGAAATCAACATGGGAAATGTGGCGGAGCGCCCCACAACTGGCACAAGTCATCATGTAAGAATACATAATTTTTAAATATTAAGGATTTATATAAACCCAGAACATGAAAAACTATAGCACTGAGAAATTAAGATCTCAAGAAAGTAGATACCATTAATTTTCTTCACATTTTTATTTTAAAAATTAAGAGATTTATATCTAAATATCTTTGCACCATGGTCAGCATTCTATACAATGTATGTAAATTGACCACTCATCACAAAAAATAGTGTTCGCTCTTAGATTTGAAAATATGATTTTAAAGTAGTATATTGTTCCATCTTACTCAGCAATTAAGGTTTTTTGTAAGAGCGAAATGGTTTTGGAGAAAAATACTGTAATCAATGGGACCCTTTTGGGGTTTTTTTGTTGCTATTTACATGGTAAAATGTACATGATGTATAGTTATAGTTTTTTATTTACCATAAAATACAATGTGTCTATAATTTTTTTATTTGCAGGCTGGATTAATTAAGGAATGACTTTCATTCGTGTCCAAATTATTCTATAAAACCTGGTTTGGGTCAGTTTACGCTTTATAATCCGCGAATCCGAAACAGATTATTCAGTATAATTTGCGTTCCTTTTTTAAATTCAATCAATGAGAGGCCAGAATGTAAACAAAATTAAATTATCATGAACTTTGAATTATTTAATACAAAAACTACATTCCAGCTGTTGAATTTGAGATTAACATTATATATTATTTTAAGATCTAGAAAATGGCAGAAAAGAGAATGAGATCATCACCTACTGGTGAAACACCAATACAAGAAACAAAGAGACCCGTGAGTGTAATTAAGGAATGATTTTAAGTTTTGTGTGAGTTTTTGGTGTGTGAATCACACAAACTTGGTACGTATGCATATTTCATGAAGCACGCTACATGTGTCAGAGTATACATGAAAATGGTATTCAAATCAATTTCACAGTTGGCTTCACAGGCACTTGTTTCGTATACAGGGGCCCGTTTTACAAAAGAACTTACGACTTAGACCAAAAACTTCAGATTATTGTAAAATTTTGCAAAATTGATAATTCTCTTTGAAATTGTCTGTGTAAAAATATCTTACCACATTCTTTTTAAAAGGTTTAAAATAATTTTCGATATAATGTTAATTAAAAATTTATATGAATAATTAAACTTGGTCCTAAGTCATAAGTCCTTTTGTAAAGCGGGCCCCAGGGTACCCCATACCTATATTTACCACATGGTAAATATAGGTAGGGGGTACCCCGTATACGAAACAAGTGTCTGTGGTTGGCTTACTAGAAAAACAGCAACTGTAGGTATTGAAATATAATTTTTTTAATTGTTAAAGTATAGTTTTTAGATTATTAGCTCTACTGGTCAGAGACCAGAAGAGCTTATGCGATAGTAATGCGTCCGGCGTCCGTCCGTCTGTCCGTCTGTCCGTCTGTCTGTAAACAATTTTTCAAAATGCTACTCCTCCTACAGTTTTGGTCTAATTTCAATATAACTTGGCACACAAGTAGACTACACTAAAATACATAATTCTGTGTATCGGTTTTTGATTTCGATGAACGGTGTTGCCGTGGTTACTAAAAATAGAAATTTCTGTGAAATTCTTTCAAAACGCTACTCCTCCTACAGTTTTGGTCTGATTTCAGTATAACTTGGCACACAAGTAGACTACACTAAGATACATAATTCTGTATATCGGTTTTTGATTTTGATGAACGGTGTTGCCGTGGTTACTAAAAATAGAAATTTCTGTGAAATTCTTTCAAAATGCTACTCCTCCTACAGTTGTGGTTTGATTTCATTATGACTTGGCACACAAGTAGACTACACTAAGATACATAATTCTGTATATCGGTTTTTGATTTCGATGAACGGTGTTGCCGTGGTTACTAAAAATAGAAATTTCTGTGAAATTCTTTCAAAATGCTACTCCTCCTACAGTTTTGGTCTGATTTCAGTATTACTTGGCAAACTAGTAGAATACACTAAGATACATAATTCTGTGTATCGGTTTTTGATTTTGATGAACGGTGTTGCCGTGGTTACTAAAAATAGAAATTTCTGTGAAATTCTTTCAAAATGCTACTCCTCCTACAGTTTTGGTTTGATTTCATTATAACTTGGCACACAAGTAGAATACACTAAGATACATAATTCTCTTTATCGATTTTTGATTTCGATGAACGGTGTTGCCGTGGTTACTAAAAATAGAAATGTCTGTAAAATTGTTTCAAAATGCTACTCCTCCTACAGTTTTGGTCTGATTTCAGTATAACTTGGCACACAAGTAGACTACACTAAGAACATAAAGAGACTTTATCAACGATCATT